TGATGCAGAGGCCCAAGAGCATGGAAGAAACAACATTTAGCCCAGGAAGGGAAGACTCTGGACAGAACCATTAGCATTAACAATAATGATATTTGCTATTTATTTTGACATGGTAAGCACTATGACCTTTATGTTATCTCATTTCATCTTTACAGCCTCCCACAGAAATTGTTTTCACCTTTCAAAGATAAATAAACTAAATGTAGAGATAGATGTTAACTAAGTAATTTGTTCAAAGGTACAGTGAATTCAGCAGAAGAGCTAGGATTTGAATCTAGGACTTGGTGATGCCAAAGTCCAGGCTCTTGAACCAGGCTGGTGAAGAGGTGGACCAGAAGAGCTATAGTCAAGGGCTGGGCAGAGGAGCTGGGCAGTCACTTCTGAGCTGTAACCAGGGAGAAGGTGGGGTGCCCTCTACTCTTTGGCTTGGCTCTAAACTCATGCACAGCCCTGAAAACTTGGATTATGAGCCACCTTTCTTCTTCTTCCCTTGAAAGTACACATTGCAGGTTTCCTGCCAGCCACCAGGCAAATAAGCAGTAGCATCTGAAAAGTCCTATCCAGAAATGTACCTGAGGAGTATGTGTGTGTGTGTATGTGTGTGTGTAGAGCAGGCACTATTCTGTAGTGAGGCTCATAGACACAGGCCGTTAATAATAAGCTCTGCTGTGGCTTGTAAATTTATTAGGCAAACTGAGTGTAATTAAAATTCAGGGTTGGGGAAGGGGAGCAGAAGGCCATTGCTTCCTTTCCTTCTTCAGAGATCCAGGCCCAGTTACCGATGGGGATAATTAGCAGAGTCCAAACACAGAAGGAATTAATGCTCCTGAAATGCTGTGATGAGGAGAGACAATGCTGAGCTAATTACAGCCACACCAAGCTTTATGACTGGGCGCCTGCTTCCACCATCATTAGGGGATTCAGAGATAAATCGGAGACTAATATGGAGTATTACAGCTAAAAGAGCATTGGCACTAATTTAGCAATTATTAGTATTATTATTTTGGCAGATGGTAACTGTACCTCTCTGCCTGGTTGGTTGGGGAAAGTGGCCTCTCTGAATGGGGAATTAAGGCTGGAGCAATGGAGGGGATGGGCAGACAGAACACCAGAAAGATTCTTTTCCCTCTGTTCTCCTCTCCCTTTTTGTACTAGCAACTGAGAGGAGAGAACTGTGTGGGTCCTTGGAGAACGAGAACAAGTTCAGAACTCCTGAAAGGTAAGGGAGGGATGAGGTGTCCTTGTACCTCATCTGGATGCTCTGTTTGCTTCTGCTGTGAAAGGTCCCTCAGATTGCAGTTCCTAAAGTTAACCCAGTCTTTAGAGGTGACTTTTCTTATGCAGGACTGGCAGGGGCGCCACCTAGCTCTTTCGGGACATTCTCTTAGTACGCTTTCTCCAATTGTAGGGAGCCCTACACAGACCCTAAGGAAAGCTAGCCTCAGTCCCAGTCCTAATGATTTGCAGCCACATGTTCTCCCCTCAAATTCTGTGAAGAGGGAAGACAAAGTAAAGTTATAACAATTGGAAGAGAACGCATCTTTTGTACAGAGCTTGAAGGGATGAAGCATACTGGATCTACCATCCCCACCGCCAGAGGGAGAGGAAAACTAGATCTCTGAATCTGAGAGCTCTAGAACTCCTACATACTGGACCTCGCTTCAAGAATCCTAAAGCTAAAAACACACTGGAGTCAGAATACCACCCGCTGTGTTCTTCAGGACCCTGAATTGCCCCTTTGCTCAAAGGAGGCAAGATCTGCAGGATTCCTTCTTTTCAGCAAAAGGTGAGGGAGTGGTTGATTATTTGGGTGTAGAAACAGGACTCTGTGTTTTAATGAAATGTTGTGCATTTTAATTTGCCATTGCACACTGAAAAAAAATTCTCTGTGTTGCAAAAGGCCGACTTCAAAGCTGAAGCACAGAATGTCTCCAGAGTCATTAGCAAAGTGAGCAAACATCACATACACCTCTTGGCCACAGGTAAGCTGGGAATAACCACTTCTTCCTGCCATCTGGGGGAGGGGCAGGGCAGCTTGAGTCTGCTCTCGAGTTCCTGCATTTTCTATGACATCTCTGGGTCTCTGCTACTACCTCAAGCCCAGAGCTCACTCTTCCCACACCCAACTGTCTGCAATATGGCCTGTGGGGAAGGTTCATTCACCTCCAAGAGGCAAATGACACAAAGAAAGGTAGGGAACTGTCTGTCAGTGTGTGTGTGTGTGTGTGTGTGTGTGTGTGTAGGAGGGTATTAAGGAGGAAACCAGACCCTTTGCCTTTAGAGTTTTTGAAGAAAAGGGGAAAATTTCCTTTTATTTGGGGCAGTTTGGGTACAGATGTTTCCAAGCCAGGGTCTGATTAACTGAGATTTCTGGTGCAATTCCTAGCATAGATCTTGGCACATGGGAGGGTCTCAGTAAATGATAGTGGAGTCTGAATCTCAGGTGTTACTAGAAATCCCGCAAGCTAGCATCTTAGAACAGAAGGAAGGCAAAGAAAACATAAAATGGTAAAAGGAGCCAAGCATGCTCTACTTACTAGTGTTTTTCAGAAAACTGCAGAAGAAAAGATTCAGAATTTCTCTGGCTAGAGAATCTGGATCCAGACACTGGCTCTGTCTGGGATGTAGGGCACAGGCTGGGAGGTAAGATTCCTAGGGCCCTGAACTTCACTGCATCTCTGGAGACCCTGTGCTCACCTTAATCCCTGAGGTCTCAAAGCCACTCTTCAACCACTTTCTTTTGCTGTGATCCAGGGTCTCCTTCTGTCTGCCTCTCCTATCCCTTTCAGCCTCCCAGCTTGGCCCCTAGGCTTCCTGGGGCTTGTGACTCAGCAGTCAAAGTTAAAGTTCCCCAGGGCTGACAACTCAAACTTGCCTTCTGAATCAGCCTGCAGGAAAGCATACTGATTCATCTGGCCCTGCTGGCTCTCAACCCTCAGGCTTCTCTCACCCTCACCCTGGTCACCCAGGCACCTTTCAGACTAAAAGGCATCCTTCTGGAGTCAGAACACCAGGTCCTTTCTCCTCTATGGGGACTTACTGCACATGGACACCCCAAAACCCTCATCCCTCAGCCAGTGTTTCTGCCCTGGACAGGGAAGGAGGACCAGCTTTCATGCCAGGTGGAACTCGACAGGTGTGTCCTCACCCTCTAGGCTCTGAAGGCTGGGACCAGCATTGAGGCCCCACTGCAGATGGAGCATTGGAGGAAAAGGCTTCAGAAGGGAGTCATGGAAAGGGCGGGGGGCAGTAAAGTCCCTGGCTTGGGGAAAATTCTTTCTGGTGGGTGTATGCAGTTGGGTGGTGAAGAAAGAGATGCACCAGAGAACTAGAGTCTAATAATACTTGCTGAGCCCAGTCATTTCTGAGAATCTCCAGGAGGGAGAATCAACCTCTCCAACTTTCATCACTGCACCACCCTCTTAAAAAAGTTCTAATCTCCATCTCTTCTGCTGCAGTAATCAACTCACTGATTAAATACTGTCAGGGCCAGAGAGACCAGTGCCCTCTACCACTCACACAGGTCTGAGGTTGGCTCCACTCACCCCAAGCCTGCATCCAGCAACCTGCCCTCCACCCCCAACCTCCCCTGGGATCTTTCTCCTTCCCGCCACGGCTCTGTTCCTAGCCAGAATCTACTTCTATCTCAGTGACCCTTAACCTCTAGGGAAAACAGGGCTCTGGCACCTGCGGCCGCTGAGATTGCCCCACCTGCACCAGCTCCACCAACTGCTCCTGTCCCTGGAGAGGCACAAATTCGGGCCTCTGGCGGCCCCCTCCTCCCTTTCCCGAGCTGTTGGTGAGAAGCTCCGAATACCCCTAGGCCCCTAGGCCCAGCACCACGAGGGTCGGGATTGGGGGACAAAGAGGGCAGAGCCCCAGTGAACCCCGGCGTCTCGGATCCCCTCACTTCGCATTCCCTCCTGGCCTCCCAGCGCCCCCAGCCCCGCCCTCCTGAAGGGGACGCGACCCCCGCGCTCTCCCGCCCAGGACCCTCCAGACCTCGGGACAAAGAAGCTCCACTGCGGGCGGCGAGCGTGGCCGCCGGGCACTGGTAGGCAGGTAAATATCGAAGCTGGCCGGCTGCCGCCCAACCGACCCTCCCGCAGCTCCCGCCGCCGCCGGGCGCGACACGCCACTCCCGCTGTCGCGACTCCCGGGGGACGTCGCAGCTGCGCGCCGGGCCCGGCCCCGCGGGGCTCGGGCTCGGGACTCACCGGCTCCGGCGAGCTCGACTCGGCTCGGGCTCCCGCCCGGACTTGGCAGCCGCCGCAGGCTGCGTCCGGCGCAGGGTCCGCGGCTCGGGCAGGAGGAGCCCTCTTGGCAAAGTCGGCGCCCGGAGTTCGAGTGAGTCAGACAGAGACCGAGGGAGCGAGTTATAGGGGCGCAGGGGGTGGGGGAGGCGGCGCACCTCCCCCCGCCCCCGCCCCCGCCCCCCGCGGAGACGCAGGAGCAGCTCGCGGCCGCAGACGCCCGGCACGCAGACCTCGTGCCAGCTGCAGACCCAAGTTTCTCCCCGCCCCAGGGAGCTCGGGCCGCGTTCCCTGAGAGGACCGACAAACGGACCGACAGACCGACTGATGGATCCTAGAACCTGGGCCCTCCGCAGAAGACCAGCTTTCTCGCGCAGACGGGATGCTCCTCGGCTCCCGCCGGGCGCACTGACCCCTGCCCTGGCACATTGCCCGTAGGGCGAGCCGAGGGACGCGAGGGAAACTGAGGCCCCGACAGTGCCGCATCCCTGGAGCCCCACTTCGCGCGGGGCCGCCAGCAATAGTCACACGAGTGGAGCAGAGGGGGTTTTCTCCCTCCCAGGTCCCCTCTGGATCTTGCTGTGCCCGATAGGCGATGGGCCAGGGCACTGGCTCAGCCTGGTTGCGAATCCAGAATCCCAGGCTGGAGTTCTCACTCTGGCTTCCGGGGCTCTTCGGGCCGCTGCTTGGGGAAGGGGGGACCTCCCGGGCACGGATCTGGGAAGGGAGGGGGCCCGGGGCCGTTACCTGCGTCGGCGGCGCTCGGACTCCTCTCCGGGGGCTGCAGCTCAAAGCTCCGACAAGTCTCCACGTCCAGCCCGAGAGGGGGAGGCCGGGCCCGGCACAGCGAGGCCAGGACCGCGAGCGCTGCCTGGCACCGAGGCCCTCCGGCCCCCCACACCTCGCTCATGCCCGGGGCACCCAGGCCTGCCGAGCGGCAGCTCGAACCCGAGCCGCGGCTGGACTGGGGCGGGGCCAGGCGCCCGGGAAGACCCTCCCCGCGGCGGCCCCTGCGGCTCCTTCAGCTTTTAATCACTTTCCCGCAGGGTCCCCGCCCCTCACGTGGCATCCCTTGGCAGCTGGCAAGTCTGGCGCCTCGGGGCCGCCCCCTCGACACTCGGGGACTGGCCTGGGTCCGGCAGGTTCCAGCCCCACTGTCTCGCGCCGTGAAGGGGGTGCAGGCCAGGCCGGGCCAAGAGGGGGAGTCCTGCTCCGAGTTCGTGCCCGGTGTGACCTTGGTCTCTCGGAGCCTCAATTTTTCTCTCGGTGAAAGAGGTACAATATAATGATTACGCTTGCTTCACAGTCTCCCCGGGGATCTAAAGATAATGCTTGTGAAAACACTGAGTAAACTGCCACATGCCACCCAAGTGGCAACAAAATAGATAACCCCACAAGAGGTGACCTGGCTGAGGGGGACCACGTTGGCGGAGGTTCCTGACCGAAGGAGTCAGGCTTCTCTTAAGTTCCAGCGCTGGAGGTGGAAGACCCCCAAGACTAAGGAGTGATGCAAACTGCAAAGAAGACTTTCCAAGCCCCGCAGTCCTGCGGTCCGCGGTACCCGCACGTTGCTATGGCAACGGGAGGCAGCGGCCGTCTCTCTCCATGGCAACGGGAGGGGAAAGTTTCTGGCGAATAGAGGAATAGGGGCATTTCAAGAAGGTGCTCTGTTCCCGCCAGACCCACCTCACTGCAGCAGTGAAATACCACCAATAATGGTCTCTTTTTCAGTTAAACATAATAGGGACTGGACAGGCTGAAAACTAAACGCGAGGCTTAAAGCTAGATTAAAAAGCAGAAGTCCCCTCAGGAACTGCGGAATGAGGCCCAGAGGCCGGTTAGCTGAGTGAGGAGCTTCGAGATGCCTCTCTTTGCCCTGGAAGTCTATGAGCCCTCGCCAAGGGCTGGGCGACCTGCAGGGCCCTATTACAGGGGCCTCATGTCCTTCAGCTGTTAGCTGGGTGGACCCTTCCTGTGTGGGGCTTTCCCGGAACTGGAAAGGAAACTTCAGCAGCAGCCTCCGGAAACTTCGGGGTAGTGCTTGCCAGGTGGGTAGTGGGGGAAGAGGGCCTTTTCTTCTAATTAACATGCTAATTGGAAGTCACCCCGAGGAGATTTGGAGTCTCAGCTCCTGAAGGTCTCCATCAGGCACCGTCTGCACCAGTCGGCTCTTGCAGTTGCGAGCCCTGAGCCCCCAGGGCCAGGCAGAGGCCCACGAGGTGTCCTGGCCTGGTCTGCGGGTATTTGCGCTCTGGAGTCACCCGAGCTCTGTCCACGGTGCTGAAGGACCAGTCTGTGCAACCATCGCGCGGCTCAGGTTGAGGGAGGGGACAGGGCAACTTGGGCAGTGGGTAGCCCATGAGGTTGGGAGTGGGGGAGGGGGTGTGACGTTCCGAGTCCACCTGGACCCCTGGCACCTGCCATTTGATAGATCTAGGAACTCAAGTGGTAGGGACTGAGAAGGCATCATCTAGGCCACTTTCCTGCTGGTGATGCCAGATTGGGGTTTCAAGCACAGGTAAGATTCTGACTCCACGTTTACCTACCCGGTGCTTCTAAAAGCGCACCTGAGGAGCTCAGAGGCCCCACCACTTTCCCTTCCACCACCTAACGTAGACCTCAGCACTCAGGAGAGACAGGAGCTCCGAGGCTCCTGGCTACACGCTCATTAGCAGTTTCAGAAGCTGTGGGTTTGTGTTTATATAAAACATAAATGGAGACAACTGCTCTCTGCCCGGGTTTATGGCAACTCTGTCACTCCTCGGCGATTTTCCCTCCCCCTCTCGAGTTCCTGGGGAAATTCGTAGAACAAAGCGCTTTGTTTTGCCTTTGCAGAGAATGAAAAAGCACAGGACCATTCCAAGGGCCCAGGCCTGTGATGCAGGGAAATCAATATTTTGCTTACATCGAGTGGGGGAATTTGCATCTAAACTGAAGGCAAAGGAGCAGAGCAGGTGGCAGGAGCTGAGAATTAACAGATAATTTCTCATTGTTCCCGGATTCAGCCTCCACACTCGGCAGGCGGTTCTGCAGTGTCTCTGGTGCTCCAGCAGCAGCTCGGGACCTGGTCCTGGCATTTCTCAACCTAACAGAGCAAAGGCGCTTCTGTCTTGGCAGGGATACAGGAGGAGCTGGACCTCCCAGGCTCCTATTAAATTTGGAGCGCAGGATTGAGGATGTGTGAGAGAGACAAGGAGAAAGAAACAGATACAGAGATGAGAAAGAAAGGGACAGATACAGAGAAGCAGATGTGCATAGAGAGACTGTAGTACAAATACAGAGAACAGAGATACGGAGGCATAGAGATAGGTGCACATATAATGGCACACACATTCAGGTAGAGAGTTTAAAAAATCTTAATGTTAATATAAAGCCTCACCCCAGTTGTTCTCCTTGTGCCCCATCCTCCCATCAGTTGCTGATACCGTTGTGGTCAAGTACCAGCTACAAAGCATTGGGGGATTTTTCCTCTCCCCCTTTTCTCCACAAGCCCAACCTCAAAGCACAGCCATGCTTCTTCCCACAGGAAGAGATGAAATCCAGACTCCTAGGGTTCCTCCTAAACCTAGAGAGGGAAGAAGGTAGAAAGAAGTGGAATTGTCCCTCAACCCTATCTGCAGAGAAAGATCACTCCGAGTGAGAGGTTGGGGAACAGAGGAACAGAGACAGCATGGCAGAGTGGCAGACAAGGGCACTGGACAGGCACGAGGAGGCCTGGATTCCAGGACCCATGCACCACACCAGCCATGGGGCAGTTGCATCCTGTCTGGGACAGTGTTCTTATCTGAAGTTGGACTAGAAGCTCTTGGAGGCTCTTCCCAGCAGCAACACTGCTAAAGGGGGTGGTTTTATAGCTGACCAGCTCACCTTTGTGTCCCCCTCCTCCATTGCTCTCATCTCATACAGCTGTAATGGGAGATCTTGAGTCTCTTGCCCTCAGGCCAGACTGCTAGAAGCAGGGAAGGGACCTGGAGATGGGGTGGGAGGCAGAATCCAGAGCCCCTCCTTACTATCCCTGCTTTCCTCAGCTAAAGTGCACACCCCCGCCCACCCCCGTCTCTCCCCTTAGAGGCACCCACCCTGCTCTGAGCAGCAATGTCTTGTTCAGTTATGCTACAAACAAAATATATTAAAACCAAATAATAATTTTTAAAAAATTGAACCTTGGTAGGAAATTGCTAATGCTGTAGGCGGGAAGAATGAGCTCTTTTGACATAAGCCGATGTGTCATATTGTCTTTCCATCTCAATGCAATTTCTAAATAGGGAGCCCTCTTCCCATTCCCTCCCCCCTGCCAAGTCCCCAGCAGAGATGTGAAGGGAGCTAGTAGCTGGATTGTCAGCTCTGCAGGCAGAGACACAGGGAAATTGACACAAGTGAACCCACTGCTTTGCCAAGTGGATCAGAGCCAAATGAAGCTCTGACCCACCTAAGGGCCCCTGATATGCTCTCTTCACATGCCTCGTCCCCACTTACTGAGGCAAGTTTTTCCTCAAATTAGAGAGGGGCATCCAGCATGCATATCATTCAGAGGTTAGCCTGCACTTGTCCCTGACAGTTTCCAAATCCTTTTAACAACCTTGAGAACAGAATTGGTGGGTGTGTAGGGTCCATCTGGTAGGTGAGGAAATTAAATGACTGATCCCTGGCCATGCAAACTAGAAGATGGCAGAGAACTGGAGCCCAGGCCTTCTGACCACAGATTGGTGCCCTTCTTTCACCATGCTGGATGGCGGATGGAGGGTGGGAACATAAAAACATCATTCTCAAAATATGGTACAATATTTTTAAATGGGCTTTATAAGAAGTAAAAAAGTTTGGAAATGAATTATAGAGTGGTGAGATTTATTCCTGTGCCTCTTTGGAGAGCTTTGACTCTCTGAACTTAGCCATTCTACTTGCCGCTTGGACTGAGTCACTGGTCTACCTGAAAGTTAGTGTCATTGATAAAACACAAGGCTGAGACCAGACAGCTTCACAGCTCAGGACTTGCTTGGTTGCTTCACTTTTGACAGTGCTAGGATGCCTCAGAAGGCAGCTTGGGGAGCCTCTGCTACACCTGGATTGTGTCCTGTGACCCAAGCCTAGTTTCCAGGAGAAGGCCAAGCCAAGATTCCTCTTTTTCCAAGATCTCAGTGACTGGAATTCTCCCCCAAGGACCCTGGAGAGAGGTTTTGCAATCTTGGGACTCTGGCTGTTGCACTAATGAAAGCAAACTAGATAAAATCCCAAAGCTAATTAAAGTGACAAATCCGAAAAGGCCTTGCCAAAACTAGGAGGTCTTAATCCTCGGTTTTAACAGAATTCAGGAAGGAAGAATCAACAGAGAATGCACTGGGGTCAGGGGCCTGAAGCCCCCTGAGGAACTGAGGGGCTGAACCCCCTGGAGAGAAAAAAAAATCTGTTCACTAAATTCTTGTTTCCATTCATTCAGTCGAATAAAAATCTGTTTCTATCCCAGTCCCAAATTTTATCCATATTTCTACTATTTACAAGAGGTATAGTAACTGTTTAAATGAGTCAGCTCCTAACTTTTACTAATACTCCCTTTTGTATATTTGTAAGCTATGGTGTGGCTTACAGGTCACTGTCACGTATCTTACTTTATATTCACAATAACTCTGAAAGGTTATTTATTATCTTATTTCACTGGTGAGGCTCCAAAGAGGCTAAAAAGGACTGGCTCTGGATTCACAGCCAGCAAGTGGAAGAACCAGAATTCAAGCTTCTCCTTTCAGATCATTCATTCACTTGTTCATTCATTCAGCATTTCCGGAGGTCCTATGAAGACCTGCCCATACCGGACACCTGGGACACAGTGCTGTGTTGTTTCCTGGACATGGTGGACCCCAACCACACAGTGTGAAGAGCCCTGAATGTCTTGGGCTCTGACCAGAGGGAGTACACATAATCACTGTGGAGAGAGGCCACATGTGAAATTAATTTACAATGAGTTCTGTGACCTCCACTGCATCATTGCCCAAGCCTGCAC